CCTTTTGCTCGGAAATTTATGTTGTACCACAACGGCTACATGGTTCTTGCCGAGGCTATCTGTCGGGATTGACCAGATGGGGATCGCGAAAGCTGTCGAGGGGCAAGGAAGTGCGGGCACCAATTCGGTTTCGGCCACCAACCGAGAACTTCGCACTGTCTTATCCTTGTTTCCTGGCAGAGGAGAGGGGTCCTCATATGGAATTGCCGGCAGTGCGTAGGCTGCTTAAGAGGGACGTTGCGCTTCTGTCAATACAGCCGCATTTCACTTTTGTTGCCAGTCGAGAACTCGAAGATGGCGGAACCCAAACCATGGCCTGAGGTGCCTGTTGGCAACAAGGACCACACACGGGCAGCCGTTGTAATCATTGGCGCTGGAATGTCTGGTGAGTTTGAGATACTAAGCAAGCACGTTTCGAGAAGCTGATCGAATGTGCAGGCATTTGCATGGCGATAGATTTGATCAAGCGAAGCAATTGTCGTAATTTTGTCATCCTCGAAAAGGGCAGTGGTTGCGGCGGAACTTGGTGAGAGGTCTTGTAAAAACTGGCCTGGGTTTAGACTGACTCTCAAGGCGCGACAATAAATATCCTGGTTGTTGCTGCGATAGTAAGCTGCGTTTTCATTCCAATTGCACCGGAGCAATCGCTTACCCGTACAGTCTGGAGTCATCTCTATTCGTTCTCTTTCGAACAAAATCCCAACTGGACGAGAAGGTACCCCGGACAAGAGGAAATACAAGTGAGATATGTCGACCTCCGTCCTGGAAGAGTGCTGATAATTGAAAGGCGTACCTTGAGAGCATTGCGAGCAAATGGGACCTCTACCGACACATGCGTCTGAACACTGCCGTAGAAGAAGCATGCTGGGACAATGTGGAAAAGAAATGGAAGACAACCGTTCAGGTCTCCGGTGAAAAAGACCGCGAATTCGCAGGCTCCTACACCATAACATCAGATTTCCTAGTGAGTGCAGTGGGGCAGCTCAATGTGCCACAGTACCCAGCCATCCCTGGTATGGACGACTTCAACGGCAAGACGATGCACTCAGCAAGGTGGGACTGGAGTTACGATCTTCAGGGCAAGCGTATTGCTGTGATCGGAAATGGTAAGGCGGTCTGGAAAGGTGTGAATCCATTTTTGACCGCTAGACAGGCGCGAGCGCGGTTCAACTCGTCCCCGAAATCGCAAAGGTCGCTTCGTCGCTCACTGTTTATCAGCGCCAGGCTAACTGGCTGCTTCCTCGGAACGACATCATGATCCCTCCATTCACGCGCGCGCTTTTCCGCTGGTGCCCACCGTACCGTTGGAGAAAGAGGGCCGTGATCATGGACTGGAGAGAAGAGTCTCACGAAGGTTTCTTCAATCCCAAGTCTTTGGGCTCAGCATTCGTCAAAGAACAATTCCAAATAATGCTGAAGCGGGACTTGTCCAAGCGTCCAGATCTCTGGAATAAGTTGACGCCGAATTATTCTCCTGGATGCAAGCGGACCATATTCTCCGACGACTGGTTCAAAGTTCTTGCCAGGCCAAATGTGCAACTTGAGACAAGACACATCAGCCGCATGACCAGCAAAGGAATCGAGGTAGAAGACGGTGACTCCCAGGAGTTTGATCTGGTGATTTACGCCACTGGTTTCCGGTCCGTACAGTTCATGTACCCAATCAAGATTGTGGGCTCCGATGGTCGCTCGCTTTCTGAAATTTGGCAGCATGGGCCACAGGCGTAAGTCTGGCGACTGCAGTGATGTTTGGAGCAGAATCCGCTAACAGACTGAGAACTAGTTACTTCGGTATAACCGTCGAAAGCTTACCTAATTTCGGCATGTGTTATGGACCGAATACTAACCTCGGACATAATTCAATCGTGCTCATGATTGAACAACAATGTCGTTACATTGCTGGGATGGTCAAGACTGTTCTCGATGCTCGAAGGCAAGGGAAGACATTGGCGCTGAAACCAAAGCCCGAGGTCGTCAAGGCGTTCAACGACGAGCTACAGAGACGACTAGGCAAGTCGGCCTTTGCAGATCCAAACTGCTCCAGTTGGTACAAGACGAAGGATGGGCGAATCACCAACAATTGGAGTGGCACCGTTGTCGAGTATCAGAAGAATGTTGAGCAGATCAGATGGAGCGACTACGTTGTTGAAGGGTCTGGAGCTGATACTTTGGTTGGCGAAGAAATGAAGGTCGGCAGGGTGGTGGAAGAGACGCAGGTAAGCTACAACACCATATGGTGGAGCACTGCCAGTGTGCTCTTCGCCGGAGTCATGTTTGCGACTGGAAAGTTCAATTTCCTTTTGAGAGCCACCTAGATTAGCGTAGAAAGAACCAAGGCGTTGACAGGTATTTCGAACAAGAGGATTGCTACTCAAAATGGTCGAAAATGATGATTCATGATGAAAGTCGGCAATGAGACGTGGAAAACATGGAGCGGAAGGGACGCGTCGGATGAAGCTTCAATGCTGACGTAAGGCGTGCTAAGCGAAGCCTGTTGCGCTTTCCTGCCGCGTCCCTCTTCATGCCGGCTTTGACATGGCGAATGCCCTTCCTTCCCTTTCAGTCCAATTGGAGCCTGTGAAAAGTTGATAACATCACATACCGCTTGGCGCCAACTCCGATGCGCGGGCTGCCGTGACGTCTACCGGGAGCTCTCATGTTTTTCCTATGGCTTCATCGCCCTCGTCATCATCGCCAACTCTAGCGTCTAGCTCACAAATTCATCTGCCTCAATTGGATCTGAGCATTCTACCTCCTGTGTTCGTGCTTCCTACCCACTTGGCAATTGACGACCTGCAAGAATTGGAGGACAAGTTGGCCGAATATGGCGCTCGCATTACATACGACATATCCGAGGCCAAAGTTGTTATTGGTAAAGTTGGTACCAAACGAAGAGCGCAACTGGAGTTGAGAAGCCGAAAATTATTCACGGAAGAAGCAAAGCCGTCCGATGCTGCCAGTTTGAGTACGGAGTTCCAGGAACCACCGCACAAACGCCGCAAGATTGATGGCAGTTCAAGAGCTGGGGAATGTTCATCTCAGGCTGAAAGCGAGGAAGACTCGACAACGGAGGAAGAAACTGAGCCCAAAACCTCCAAGTCTAGTGGCCCAGATCGCGCGTCTGGATTGCCTCATCGTTCTTCAGCAGAGGATTCGATTTCTCCGACCACGTTCTCCGAAAATGTCGTGAAGGTAGTCAAAATGGACTGGATTGATGACTCCTCCCGAGCTGGGAAGCTGCTACCTTTGAAGGCCTATCTAGTATACGAAGGAAAACCATCCGAACCGCCGACTGGTACTCCGCCTTCAAACCCAGCTTTTCAATCTTCTAAAGCTCCAACTGTAATTCCAGTCACTCGGGCCCCACCACCTAACAAGAAATCGCCTGTCCAAGTCGGCCAAAGTATTCTTGATCGCGCAAAGGCGGATGCCTCAAGCGGAAGTCCCTCAAATCAACGAAGACCAGGTTCGAAAAGCAGCAGTCAGGCTCATTTCGACGGCCGCAGTTTCGCCTCCTCATCTCAACCAGTCACCTCCAAGTCCAAACTCCTCCAAAAGACGACCAGTGAGCATGATACCTCCAGCAGCAATGATGGCAAAGACATACCTCCACCGCCGGCATGGGTCAAGGAACGCAAAAGATACGCCTGCCAGCGCGCGACACCAGCCAATCCTCCCAACGCGTCTTTCATTAATCAACTCAAACAGATTCGCCTCGCGCGAGCACTGACAGCTGACGAGATTGGCGTCCGCGCCTACAGCACCAGCATCGCAGCACTGGCTGCGTATCCGCACAAGCTTCGATCGCCCAAGGAAATAACTCGACTGCCTGGCTGTGAAAGCAAGATTGTCGGGCTTTGGAAGGAATGGCAAGACAGCCACGAAGATGAAGACCAGAGATCATTGGTGGCAGTGCGCGACGCTGAGGCCGACCCAGAGATGAAAGTCCTGCGACTCTTCCACGGCATATGGGGCGTAGGTGCCTCGACTGCACGGAGCTTCCTGCTCGATCGCGGTTGGTGCGATATAGACGACTTGGTCGAGAACGGTTGGAGCACGCTTTCGCGTGTCCAGCAAATCGGCGTCAAGTATTACGACGAGTTTCACGCGCCAGTACCTCTCTCCGAAGTTGAATCGATTGCCAACACTATCCGTGAGCATGCCGTGCGACTTCGCGGAGAGGGCATTGAGACTGCATTAGTCGGCGGTTACCGTCGCGGAAAAGCGGATCCGGGGGACGTCGACGTGATAGTGTCACATCGGCGGCTTGAATGCACGCAGGACCTGGTGACGGACCTGGTCGCAAGTCTGGAGGAAGAGGGATGGATCACGCACACGCTCCAACTCACTCACGCCAATTCGACTCGCGGGCAGGATACCCTGCCGATCAACCCAATAGCAGGCGGAGCACCTGGATTCGACTCGCTGGACAAGGCGCTGGTCGTTTGGCAGGATCCGCAATGGGAGACGCGAGAACACGACCTTGCCACGAATCCAAAAGCGAAAAATCCAAACCCCCATCGAAGAGTCGACATCATTGTCTCGCCGTGGCGCACGATGGGCTGCGCTGTCTTGGGCTGGACTGGCGATACGACGTTTGAGCGCGACCTGCGGCGATATGTGAAGAACGAGAAGGGCTGGAAATTCGACAGCAGCGGAGTTCGGGATCGTCGAACAGGCGGTGTGGTGCTTCTGGAGGGACCGGATGGAGTCGAGGGCAGCTGGATGGATGCGGAGAAGAAGGTGTTCGAGGGGTTAGGGCTGGAGTGGAGGGAACCCCATGAAAGATGTACAGGATGAGGTCACCAGAAACGTCTAGATTTCGGCGTCAAGGAGCAGATCTGACATGGCACTGTTGGGGTAGCCTACTACCTGCCAACAAGCTTTGAACAAAGCATTCGACACCTTAATCTCTTACTCGTTTCTCTCCTTTCGCTCAAACTTCAAAACCAGACACCCCAAAACGAAAAACGCAAAATCAAACGCGCCAAAAGGAAAGACTCCATCGCCGAGAATCGAACTCGGGTCTCCAGTCCAGCTCTCAAAGCTTTGCCAGGACAACTGCGGCCGTCAGTTGCCCTGCATGCCAGAAATTGCTCTATTGCTCAATTGCTGGATGCGCCAGGCATCTGATGGTTGCGGTTGCGGGGCATGATGAGAGGACTGGCGGGCTACCACTGCACCACGACGGATTTGTTTTGATTGGTTTGTGGGCTGAGGAGATTATGGACTTGGACGTAGAGGCGGGAGTGGTAAAGGTTAGCGATGCGCAAAAGGCAGGCACGAATTGAGAAAACCTCAGTTTAAGAGTATGCTCAATTATGCGTTCAGTCTCGACGTGCCTACTCATACACCTCCTCCATTCTCACCGTTGTTGCTCTTTCGGATTAGGTGGGTTTTGCGTGGTTCAAAGGTAAGATGTGGTGGTAGGTGGATGGCAAGGGGGTGCGAGGGGACAGGGGGCAAGTACGACCACAAGGAAGGCTTCGAGGCTGGACCGAAGCGGAGACAACTCTGTCACCTGTATACGAAACTTACAGCCAAGTCATGAGGGGGGTTTTAAAGAGAGTCAAGTGAATGATGCATCAGAAAACCACTCGTTCGATTGCATTTCATCTCACAACTACGGACACCAGCAAGATAGCCAGTCAGTCGCCTGCCCGACGCCTGTCAACGCAAATTGACCATCCCCCACCCGCACGATACTCCTCTCCAAACACACCCAAGTCCTTGATGTTACAATAGAAAACTACGCGTCTGCTTCCATTGCGCTCACTTCACCTGTCTGATACTTTATCCCTTCCTTCCCTTCCCCAAAGTCATTGTCGTCTTTTTGAACAAACCAAAGCAAGCAATGAAAGCAACGCCAACAACGCCATGCTAGGTAGAGACCCTTCCTTGACCTCCTTCTCTCGCTCACTCGTATTCCCACCAATCCGCCACGAACAAGAGAACGCAAGAACGACAACGAAAAATCCAACTTGAGAAAGATCGGAGAAGCCCCAAACTAGGGATAGGGGAGCAGAAGCGAATGTAAGGTCGGTCCAGGGCAATGCAAAAAATGAGAGGGTATCAAAGAGCACTCGAGTACGGCGGAGGAGTATCCCCGCCAAGACCGGAGAAAGGACCGGAGTGTTGAGTTTGGCGACCCTCGCCGCCGTCAATATTGAGCGGAGCCTTGGCGTCCAGAGTCCCTTTTGCCGTGTGAGTGGAGGAGCACTGTAGGTTATTTCGAGTTGCTCCCTTGCCTTGTGTTGTGTATCGGAAAATGAGGTAAGGCAAGCTCTGGAAGGGCCGCAAGATGTTTGGGACGTGCCGCAGAGTCGTATAGCCTCCCGCGGAGTGGTTGTGAACTATGTGGTGTTTGATCGTTTCTTGGATGAATAACTGCAAAAGCGGGCAGATGGACGAGAAGGCGGGTATGCAGACGTTTTGGCGATACTGAGCGGCGAATGCGTCGACGCGACGGAGAATGAAGGTGGTCGGATTCGGCTCCGACAGCCCTTGTTTTGTGCTGAGATGCTGCTCAGAGCCGTTCCTGGGCCGTGAAATCTCCACGGCGTTCGGATCAACTCTTACAATCTCTTCCAACGTGAACCATGCAGGAAAGAGAGGGGGTGATCATGACCGGAAATCGTACACTCCTCGCGCTCACGACGTGCTGTCGTACACCTTTCCTCCTTCGACTACAATCTGCTCATCTACTTTTTCTTCCGTGTTGCCCCATTCAACTCTTTTCCACGTGCTGATTCTGGCCTCGTTCGCATCAACATCCCATACTCTTATCCGCCGGTGATATCCATTGTAACCACCGTAACCGCCAAATCCACTCCCACCAGCATAGCACATCCATAATCTTGGATCGCTGTTAGATCTGGACAAAGCACAGTAGTCGTTGACATGGTCGTGACCACAAGATACCACGGGAACCTGTGCTTCAATGAGGGCATCATGGAAATGAGAATTAAACCCAGGAGAAGTAACTCCTTCTTTCCACGTTCCCACGTATTGGTTCTCGCGAAGGCTGTACTCCGGGATAGGGATGTGTATAAAAGCCATGTCGAGATGTATGTGTGTGTAGTGTTTGTGTTGTTCTCTGAGGCTCTTGGCTGTGTCTTTGAACCAAGATATCTGATTGGGTTTGATCCAGTCATACCCGCGGAATTTGTGCTCATCAGGAGAGTATGAATGAGAGTCCAGGAAATAGAGCGTCAAGGCAGAGTGCGTGGACGTGCCAGGGGCAAGAATTTCGACAAAATAGTTGCCCACACCATCGATCGTATTTGGCCCTGGTTCGCTAAGGGAGTAAGGGAGTGTTGTAAGGAGGGACATTTGCGCTGCGCGGCTGAGAGAGCCCTCATCGTCGTGGTTTCCGAAAATCGCGGCGTATGGAATTTTTCTCTTTATGAATAGTTCGGCAAATTTGAAAATGGCCTATAATGTCAGTAGTGACAGGTGAATGGGGGAATTCATGACTTACGGATTGCGAGTCTGGTGCCGTCTCCCCGTTGACCTGGTCGCCCGACAGAACGACCATGTCGGGCTTTTCGTCATCCAAAATCTTTCCCACAAACTCCAGTGTTCTGCTGTCCGCGTCGCATGCTCCGCCATTGTGACCTTTAGGCTCAGGATCCCGGCAAACGCCAATACCGGTGCTGAGGTGGAGATCCGAGACTTGAAGAATCTTGAATTTGCCGTCCCTTTTAATCCTAGGTATCGGCTTGTCGACCTTGTGCGGCGGACCACGCCTGAGGCTCAGACGAGCTTCTTGCGCTTCGCCCGAAGTATCCAACAAGAGGGGCGTGTCTCGGACTTCCCAACTAGGGCGGGGCTCAACAGCATCGGCGCCAAACAGGACATCCACTGCGGTCACAACTTGATTGGAGTCGCTGTCGTGCCGCTTGCTGGATCGCAAAAGCCAAATCCCTGCAGGTCTGTTTTCCCACTTTGCCGTTTCTTGGCCCTTCTCGCCCATGGACGGGTCGAGTCGTCCGACGCGTACATCGATGACGACTCTTTCATCCGACTTGAGCTCCTCCTCGCGTTTGCGCTTAACATGGACGTAGGCCTTGTTGAACCATCCGGTGCCTAGATATAAATCTTTTTCGACGCGATGCCATTTGTCTTGGTCGAGCTTGCAGCTACTGAGCGGGTTAAGCGCAGAGCATGTCTGTACGGTAATGTCGGTAATGATGAGGCCAGGGTGGTGAGCTGGAAGATGTGTATGAATGCTTTGAGGAAGGACGCGGAATTTATTGTCAAAGAAGATGACGATCATGACAATGACAGCCGTAAGAGCTCCCAGCTGAAAGCTGGTGCGGACCTGGAAAAACAAGCAATTATTGTCAGCAAATGGAACCAAGTGTCGCGTGTACAGGCGCGGGGAAGAAAAACAGTACTTACAATTCTTCTGGTCATGCTGGCAGCTTGGGAGCTATGCGCTCCAGTGGATGGAAGAAAGGTGGCTGCTGGAAAGAGGTAGGTCGAGGCGGCGGCGTCGGGGGAGCGGGAGCGGGAGCTGTAGAGCTGTAGAGCTTGGTAATTCAGGAGCAGCAGAATGGTAGACGATGAGAGGCAAGACAGCTAGAGCAAGCCATTATCCCGCGGAGGCGCAGGAAGTTGGCCTGGGTGACGGGGAGAGAGACGGTGGTGGTGAGCAGGCGGCGGGCGACGGAAGCAGAGGTAGCCGTTCGGTAGGTAATGGTGGTGCAGTAGCACAGGAGGCAGGCTCAAGACTCGCGACCCCTGCACGGGCTTCCAGTCGCGCTCCAGCACCGCGCGCGAGCACAGAGCTTTCCCCAGATCTGCACCACCTCACCACCGAAATATGTGCCGCTGAAAGGCACGTCACTCTCCAACATTCTCCATTCCCCAACCCTCAACTTCGAACCATGCTCGCAGCCTGGCGCCCCGCAGCGAGACCAATCCGGCTGCCCGTGTGCCGTCAATGTCTGCGTTCGCTATCCTCGCGCGCTCCTAAACAATTTGTCGGTACGCAAGCCTCGGAATTTTTTTCCTCTTCCTTTTCACGCTTTCCAGTACTGACATGCCCATCGCAGAGGGAGACGTGGTCCTGCTGCGCGACAAGAGAAAGCCCGACAATGACGGCATCCTAACTTACGCGCTCAAGTCTGGCGGTCAAGTCAGACAAACCTCTTTTGCTGGTCGTCCCGTCACCCACAACGAAATAATCGGAAAAAGCCCGCGCGACGTCATACACACAACGAGAACTTCGTTTCGTCTTCACGAACCGACGCTCGAAGAGTACGTCCGCCTCAGCCCGCGGATTGCCACACCTGTTCGTTGTTCACCGCAGATTACGTCGCCCTATATACGGCCGCGCTGACCCGGCCACGATCAGATATACCATGATGACGCCAATGTGATTGTAGGGCTGCTAGACATCCATGTTGACCCACCGAGCTCGGAGAACGCCTCGTCTCCTCCGTTGGAAGTCTTGGAAGCCGGGACTGGCCATGGCGGAGTCACTCTCCATCTTGCCCGCGCCATACATGCTGCGAACCCTCCTTTGCCCAAAGCTCAGCAAGTGGTCCAGCCCTTGCCGGAATCTGCTGAAGATCCTTCCGAAGATGCGACATACGACTCGCCTCTTGCCGACTCGCCGAGTGAGAACCGATTTGAAGCGTGGAAGACCAAGCGGCGCGCCGTAGTTCACACCGTTGAGGCAAAGCGCCGGAACATGGTGCATGCCCGCCAAATCGTGAAACACTTTCGACACGGGCTTTACGCCCGCCATGTCGACTTTCACTTGGGTGACGTAACGCAATGGATTGAGGGTCGCCTGGAAACCCAGCCAAAGTCCCAGTCGTCCGACTCGAGCGCTGAAGGGCCCGAGCCATTCCTGTCACGCGTCTTCCTCGACCTTCCTGCTTCTGAAGACCACCTCCCCTCTGTCGCCAGAGCTCTTCAAGTCGATGGCATTCTCGCTGTGTTCAACCCCAGCATAACCCAGATTGCTGACTGCCTGAAAGTGATCAAGGAATCGCGCCTGCCCCTGGCACTGGAACATGTGGCCGAGCTGAGAGGCGGCCAGACCGCGAGACCGTGGGAGATCAAACTTCTGAAAGAGGAAAAATCTATCAAAACTTCATCTGGCGCCTTGGCCGACAACGTCTCATTTCAAGCGCAGCTTGCGAAAGCAAACGAATGGAATGACAATGTCGATGAGGCGGACTCCGAAACCGAAAAGCAGAGTTCGGACGCGAAACCTTCAAGCGAAGCCGAAGTCACTCCAGATACTCCAGAGGGACTGTCCATTGATGCTGCGAACAATGAGAAGTGGAGAGTTGTCTGCAGACCTCAACTCATCAACAACAACGTGGGAGGTTTTGTAGGCATCTTTCGCAAGATTAGCTACGATGGACAGCGGCAGGAGAGGCCCGCTAAAGTGGAAGACGCAAAGGTAGAAGAGGCACCTGTAGATCCATAGTCGAGTAGAGATTGAGTGACAACTAATTCCACTCTCCTATCATCTATGCTGTGGTGCGTAGTCTATAAAATTCAGGGTTTCGCAGGGTCAGGTCCACTCGTCCATCCCCGCGTACCACAGTACCTACCTCCGATCGGACCCCATCACGTCAGCGAGCCCCACCAGGGTCGGTCGCCGTCGGTGACTGAAGTCCTCAGATGCGCCTGAGATCTCTCCACTCAACATCCTATCTCCAATTTGACATCAAACTCTCATCACGATGGGAGAGCCAAGGTATCTGACCGGCGACAAGCCGGCGATTGAGGAATTCCTCGCCAAGTTCGATGTGTGTTCTACAGCCCTCTCAAACCGACCCCGACCCCGAGAAACTTGTGCTAACACTTCTGCTAGACCTTTCTGTTCGACTGCGATGGTACGCAAAATTCTCCGACCCTGCGCGACGCCAAATAACAGCCGCATAAAGCAATGAGCCTGCGAGCAGAAAAGTTTTGGAAGCCGGCGCACTGCCAGGATCACCTTGGGCCGCTATACTAATCGCATGAAGGATAGGCGTGCTATGGTCTGGTGATCACATATTCCCTGGAACGGCAGAGACGCTGGAAATGCTCCGAAGCAAAGGTCAGAACACAACAAGGTGCAAGTGCCTAGAATTGTTTTCGCTGACCAACACGTCATGCAGGCAAGCAGCTTGTATTTGTGACGAACAACAGCACCAAAAGCCGCGCGGACTACAAGAAGAAATTCGACAAGCTTGGTGTTCCTGTGACGGTGGTACGTACATTGGGAAAGAGGAGACATTGACTGCCTTCAACGGCACCTTTGGTCCATGCCGCTTACTTTACTACTTTTCAGGATGAGGTGTTCGGTTCCGCGTACAGCGCTGCTGTGTACATTGCGCGGATCCTCAAGCTCCCGGCTCCCAAGAACAAAGTCTTCGTATTGGGCGAGTCCGGAATCGAAGAGGAACTCCGGGCCGAGAACGTACCCTTCATCGGCGGCACAGATCCCTCCCTCCGTCGCGACATCGAGCCCGAGGACTTCACCAAGATTGCGGATGGCTCTGCGCTTGACCCCGATGTTTCGATCGTCCTCGCTGGACTCGACTTCCATGTCAACTACCTGAAGCTGGCGCACGCGTTCGCATACATGAAGAGGGGAGCCACTTTCCTGGCGACGAACACGGATTCGACACTCCCCATGGCACACACACTGTTCCCTGGGGCCGGATCAATTGGTGCGCCTTTGGTCACAGCCTCGGGGAAGGCGCCGCTGGCTCTCGGAAAGCCAAGCCAGGCCATGATGGATGCTGTGGAAGGAAAGTTCCAGTTTGACCGCAGCCGAACGTGCATGATTGGCGATCGTCTCAACACCGACATTCGTTTCGGTATCGAAGGCCAGCTGGGTGGAACTCTGGCTGTGCTGAGCGGCGTGAACAAGAAGGAAGACTTCCTGGGCGAGGGAGACGGAACTGGTGTTAAGCCGGCTTTCTACGCAGACAAGCTGGGAGACTTGTTGGGCTAACTGTACAGCGCATGCTAGAGATCATATGGGGAAGCATTTTAGACTACGCGAGTAGAATAGATAGAATAGAAAGAAATACTGTTGCATGGGCCAAGTCCGAGTAGCTGCCTCAGGCATAAGTTCATTTAGCGCCTGGGCGCGTCGGAAGAGACGCGTTGCCCGCAGCGTCGCGTCTCGCGCCCACACCTCAACACCAACCCTCAACACACGCCCACACCAAAGAAATCTACCAGCAACCTCCTGAGCCTGCCGAGCGACTCAGATTGTTTGTCACAACAATGCAGCGCTCATTTGCTCGCATTGATCCAAAGCGCCGCACTATACTCGACCACAAGAAACGCCAGTTCGCGGCACCAACATGGAGGGACCAGGAATACAAGCATCGCCTCAACTTCTACACCATACCGCCTACTGCTGAGATAACTTTGGAGGAGTTCGAAGAATGGGCCATCGCACGTCTCAAGGGTAGGTAAATCGAGTCAAAGTCCGGCACGAATTTGGGCTGCTTTTCAAAGCACGCATGTGGAGAGCATTCACTGACAAGCGCGCCACAGTCTTGTCCGAAATCGAAGCCTGTTCGTTTCGCAATCGCAGCGCCGAAGAGACTGCATCGTACATGAAACCCATTCTCGAAAAACACCTTCCATTGCAGTCGAACAGCAGTCGCTCGACTCAGCTGGACGCGCAAAGGAAAAAGGACCACTACTCGCATTTTATTCTACGTCTGGCATTTTCCGCCACCGAGGACCTTCGTCACCGCTTCGTCCGCCTTGAAACTGCGCTGTTTCGCTTGAGATGGAACGAAGACGACGCTCGTGAGCGCAGGGATTTCGTGGACTCTTTGGACATGGGCGGCGAGTGGGAGAAGGTGACCGAGGAGGAGAAAAAATTGTTGGCCGATGAGCTGAAGGCTGCCACACCTTGGGGTGCGAGAAAAGGAGAGGAAGAGGGCTGGTTCAAGGTCGACTGGGAAAAGGTCCCAGATTTGGTCGAACATCGAAAGGTTCTCTTGAAGAGGGGCAAGGCCTACGTTCCCATGCGGGAGCAGAGCAGTCTTCTGTTGGCTGAATTTAGCAGGAGATTGGGCGATGCGATGGAGGTGTGTTCGATCTGCAACCCCAAAAGGCAAAACTAACAGTGGCAGCTCACTTCCCGCGCACTTCCTCGCATAGACGAGGACGATCGCCTGTCACCCATTCTCTCGCATCTGAGCACGAGCTTTACAGCCCCCGAGACGACCTACTCTGATGACAGCGCTCTTGATGGTTTCACCACGCCCACTGCTGCCTCTGTCGACGCCTTGAGTCAACATTTCCCCCTTTGTATGCAGCACCTTCACCGCACGCTGCGGCAAAACTCGCACCTCAAACATTTTGGACGTCTGCAGTACACACTCTTCCTCAAAGGCATCGGCCTCAACCTGGAAGAATGTCTCATATTCTGGCGGCGCAGCTTCAAGCTCATCACCGACGAGAAGTTCAACAAGGAGTACCGCTACAACGTTCGCCACGCCTACGGCGATGTAGGAGGCGACGCCAACCGGCGTGGCAAGGGCTACACGCCGTACTCTTGTCAAAAGCTGACGACGGAACCGCTGCCAGGACCGGGCCAAACGCACGGCTGCCCCTACCGCACTTTCGCGCCAGACAACCTGATTAGTTTACTCCAGCAGACGGGTGTGGACGACAGGCAGACGCTCAACGAGGTGCGCGACGATGTAAAGAGGCAGCGGTACCATATTGCGTGCAACCGCGTGTTTGAGCACAAGCACCGCAACGAGATCAAGAAGGTCAAGGAGGACGGCACTTGGAATGGCGCGCAGCTCGACACGATTCTGCATCCGAATGAGTACTTCAAGCGCAGCTTCTTGCTGGGCCATTTGGGCGAGGAGAATGGCAATGCGCTGAGAGATGAGATGAGAGGATAGGTCACGGGTGGAAGCTTGTAGTACTTTTGGATTGTTGCTTCAGACGGCGTTTGTGGTGTTTGCGTCTGGATGGCATGGTATGGTCTTTTCACAGTTTCCAGTCTTCTCCTTGAAATCGAAGTATTCACATCTAGCTTTGCGATGCCGCGTCACTGCCAAGTCACGAAGCAGCCTCCCACCACTCCATCACGATGGTGTCATTAGGGAGTGCTTCACCTACTTACTCACCATCATTACACTTTGACCCAAACCAACGACAGTCCTAGGCCGCCCCTCATGAGCTCAAAAAGGCAACCTCTTCTTTCTTTACAACAATCAAAAAGATATTCCATCGCCGAGAATCGAACTCGGGTCTCCAGACTCGATGCCCAACAATGCACCCGCCAGCGAGACCGTCTGGTACCGGTGCAGGTGTATTGTTGGATTCCGTCGTCTGGCGGGCTACCACTGCACCACGACGGACGGTTTGCTGTTGGTGGAAGCTGAGCAAAATGAAACCATATGCAGACTGAGCCGCCAATCTTTCTCAAAACAGAAGCCCTGGTGCAGTTAGTGCCTTACCAGAGCAAAAGAATTTCTCCATCGCCAAGAGTCGAACTCGAGTCTCCAGACTGTATGTTTGACACGCATCGCGCGAGCGAACCCAACTGGGCACGCCCCGGCACGCTCGTGAGCTGTGCGGCGTGATCGTGCTTGGTCTGGCGTGCTACCACTGCACCACGAAGAACTGTTGGTTGTTGAAAGAGCCTAGCTAATGAGACTCTATAACAGACTGAGGTCTTCCTCTCCCACATCAAAAGAGAGATCCTCTAATCGATATCCCAAAAGAGCAAAAGAAACACTCCATCGCCGAGAGTCGAACTCGGGCCTCCAGACTAGCTTGCAGCGCCAGCATCGCGTATGCGTGCAGTGCTTGACCGACGTATCGGAAGCTGCATACGGCACCCTCGTGAGTAGTGCGGCGTGACGCCGTGTGTGGTCGGGCGTGCTACCACTGCACCACGATGGATAGATGGTGACGAGGTTGGGGAGTGGATATTTGTAGGGAGCTGAGGGGTCAGGGGTTATTTCAGGAAACCGGGTACACTTCACTGGGGAACCTCAGGTCGCGCCTTCCACGACATCGATCATAAAATATCGGCAAGAGAGGCCCTTAGTTACTTCCCCACAAGGCTCTGGGGGGACATATGAGTACATCCATAGCGTTAGCTCATGACACAATATCATTTCAGCGTCGCAGTGGACCCAGATCCTGAAATCATAGCGCCAGGAGAGATGCGGAAAAATGACGTTGACATTGACGAAACACTGCCGTCCTAAATGTATCTTGGTATCACCGAACACCTAAGCGCTCAAAACGCCATGAAACCCAAGAACTTTGGCCATCCCCAAAACCCATCATTGCCCATTTTGTTCGTCGCCTCTTCAGTCCATTCACATCTCCTCCATAGCACAGTTGGGATGCATGACGTACACGACCCTGTCGCCGCCGGTAAGGCCTTGGCCCTGGTCGTCGGCGAGGCCTTCGCCGCGGATCATCATGAGGATGTTTTCCTGCGGACAAGTCAGCAGGGGTGTCTTCTCCGATATTATGGCAGTGCTGAAGATTGATTCTTACCTTGACCATGCGCTTCAAAACCTTCCTGGCCCTTGTTTTCTCCTCCTCCATTTCCTCTGCCGTGTCTATCTCGGCCTCCTTCTGCTCAAGATACGAGATGATGAGCTCCTCCTCCTCGACTCCATCCTCGGCCGTCTGCGCGTCCAAGTTGATGCGCCGCACCATGTGATTGACGATGGCAATGTACTCGTCGTAGCGGATCGTGGTCTTCTTACGCTGTTGCTGGTCTTCAGATGCAGGGGCGGCGGCTTCGTTCTCAGCACCGGCGTCGGCCATCTCTTCGTCGGCGTTGGCGCCGGGCTGTGCGTCTTGTGCCTCATCGTCGTCCTCGACCTCGATGTCATCCTTCTCGACGGAGATGATGCTCTGTCGCAGGAGATTGTAGGCTTCGCAGACAAATTCGGGTGTCACTTCATTGACACACGTCGCCTTGGCAATGGCCTCGGACAGACGAATCATACTCTCCAGTTGACGGACTGTGATGCGGTAGCTGTTGCGGCCAACTCCACCCTGGGCGTCGTCGGCGCGAAGCTCCTTGTACTTCTCGACAAGGCATTGCTTTGCCTCAGGGGTGAACTCGGGCTTGAAGGTGCGCGCGAAGCGGATGTAGCGCTGCAGCTGCGCAGTGCTGAATTCTGGCTCGACGGCATCATCGCGGAGGCGGTGGATGTTGACAATGTGTTCAGCAAGGTGGCGGTCAACGCTCTCCTCGCACTCGTCAAGGACCACAAAGAACAAGTCGAAACGCGACATGATGGGGGCGCTCATGTTGACGTTGGCGCGGAGGGTGGTCTTGCGGTTGTAGCGTCCGCCAACTGGGTTAGCTGCCGCAAGAATCGAAGTGCGTGCGTTCAAGGTGGCCTGGATACCAGCCTTGGCGATCGAAATGGTTTGTTGTTCCATGGCTTCGTGAATGGCAACCTGATCGGCGATGTCCATCTTGTCGAATTCGTCAATCGCACAAATGCCATTGTCTGCCAACATCAGGGCACCAGCCTCAATGGTGAAATCTCCGGTTTCCTCGTCCTTGACGACGGCGGCGGTGAGACCAGCCGCCGAAGACGCTTTACCGGACGTGTAGACAGACCGTGGCAAGAAACTGCAAATGTACTTCAAGAACTGCGACTTAGAGGTACTGGGATCGCCGACAATGCAAATGTTGATGTCACCACGTAGAGCCATGCCTTCTGGCGTGGCTTTGCTGACACCACCCATCAGCTGCAGTAGCAAGCCCTTCTTGATGACCGAATGGCCATAGACCATAGGAGCGATGGAGTCAACGAGCCGCATGAAGATGTTGCCCGACTGCACCATTTCTTTGAGATCGGCGATTTCGGCTTCCGTCATGGTGGACAAAAGTTCGGCTTGCGCCTCATCGGAAGAAAGATGGGAGTTCTCTGTAGGGCCGACCTGATTGAGTGACGAGAGGATGTTTCCGGCCTGACCGTGAAGCTCCTGGGAAGAAGCTTGGCCAGGGGTCGAAGTATCAGGAGTCACCATGCAGGCCATGAAAGCCATTCTGTAGGTGAGGTCTCTCACTCCGAGCGCCTTCAGACCAGAAACTCCACTTCCACCGACATCCGCACCCCGGGCTTGACCTTGGAAATCCCTAGTCGCTTGAGGTTTCATGCCAGGAACTCTGAACTGACTTACGTCCGGAATCACAATTGGCGTGCCTGTGAAAATGCACTTCTCTCCAGCCTTGGCACGATCCACAATCTCACCACGGAGAATGACATCGAGAGTCCTAGGCATGCTTCCTGTTGGAATCTCCGAACTATTCTCCTGGATGCGAACCTTCTGCCAGTCGACAAAAGTGCTCTGCCTGATGTCTAACCGCCAAGCTGTCCGGTTGCCACACGTCAAATTCGGGCATTGGGTTGGCTCAGTGTACCGGAAGACTTGTTCGATATTGGGGACGATTGTGTTGCAAATCTCGCAGACGAAGGTTGCGAGGGAAAGCTCTGGCCGTACTTCTGATGTCCGGGTGACTGTTCCAGAGATCGACAGCAGCTTTCCGATGGACGAGGTCCGCAACTGCCTGATTCTTGACACCAGCGGGAGGTTGTAAAATGCAAGTGTAAAGAGCTTGTCGGTCTGCTGGTGGGGAGTTTTTGATTCAAAGGTTTCGCCCAAAAGGTCATTGCTTCTTTCGGTAGAAGACGGATTTGTTGCGACGCTCGAGGACGAGTAGTTTGGTTGTCGGTGATCCCTAAAGTACTGCGGCTCATGCTTCGCAATGAGGTTGTGCATCGCTCGCGTCAAGAACGGCAAGAAGCGATAGTATTCATTTGCGACTGCGCTCGCAAGTGATTCGTCCTCATAATTCAAAAGGTGGTTGAAATCGACGTAGAGAGTCGACAAGTTGTACTGGCGCAGTCCCTGGACTTGGGCGACGTAGTACCGGTCGGTGGTTTGGACACTGGATGCTGGGGCTCCGGAGGATACTGGCGGTGGCTCTACCCGATATCTAGCTGGTTCAGTCATGCATTCGTCGCCGATCAAGGGCTTGCTCACTTTTCCAAAAACTCCTCAAATGTCTGACACACTACCTCGCCCGTCACGTCCACTACCTTCGGGATGTCTTGTCGCGGACCAGCTGTCCTTCTTATCGTCGCCCTGGAGGCAGCCATTTCATCGTCTCGATAATTGGCCTCGCTGTTGGGGCCTACACTATCCGACGGGGGCCCTCGTGGGCGCGAAGAGGAACGGCCATTTTGTTGCGGTGCGCCAGCAGTGGAGCCAGGAGTAGGCGCATTGAGATCGTTTTCAGAATTCAGGACTGCATCGACCAAGGACGACATTTTCGACGATGCTCGAAGGTGTTGAAGTTGTGGGGGTGGTGGTTGCGTGAGATGTGGTAGGGTGGGTAAGAAGGCGAGGCGACGTGCTTTAGCTTTTCAGCAACGCGAAACGCGTCGCCGACGCGTTCGCGGCGCCTAGAGCTCATCACGTGCCAAGATCAATCTCATCTCCTAATGGGGACTAGTGAACAGGGTCGCGGGCTATGTCATAGCTCGATCGAGGCGGGGCACTGGGTGGGGCAATTAACTACTCAACCAGTTTGTTTGCAAAACACATCACATCTTGTCAACATTGACTGGAGCATTTTTGTTTCCGTTGAGGAAAATGTCATCATATCATTAAATCTTCAGGTATCCAGCATTGACAACTCCCATGCCTTTACCCATCCCAGACGCCTTTTTTGTTACATCAAATCGGGGGTATCTGGCTTATTGCTTCTTCGAGCCCCAGTGGCCCTTGCCTGATGCGGCGGCCTCATCCTCCTCGCGGAGCTCCTGGTCGATCTGAGCACCCTTGCTGGGCTTGTTGCCGTGCGAAGCAGCCTGCATCAAAATTGGATTAGGTCGCTGATCACTTGGTGACGGTGGGGAGGATGTCAACATACCGGCAACCTGGCGTCGTGCTCGAGCTGAACCTTCTCAAAGTCCTTGGGCTCGGACTCCTTCTGGCGATGCTCCTCGCGGGCGAGCTTGTTGGCGATGGAACGCTCGTCCTCTGCGAATAGTATTAGATCTATGCTCCGGCGAAGATGGACTAAAGATGACTAACTGGAGTCGAGAGAAAGGTGGCTGTGAGTCTGGCCCTCGTGGAAGCGGTCGGCGTTCGCGCTGTTCTGGAGCTCAGCCTTGGAGTAGTTGCGCTGGTCACCGTCCTCGTAGATGTTGTGGGAGCCGACGTTGGAAGACATGGTGATGGAGATGTGTGGTTTGACAGAGGTGAAGGTTTTGGTGGTTTGAGTGGATGGAGAGTTGAGTGTTCGTGTGTTGGAGAGTGAGGTTTGTGTGATGATGGATTGAGAGGTTTGACGAAGCCAAATGGCATATTTAAGATGCTTGGGGGTGGTGCCCAAGGGAGTGACGAAGTGGGTGACGTCACAGGTCGAGGCCATCGGGCCCCCGCCAAGGACCGGGAATGCAGGACAATGGCGTCAACCCGCTCCGCTTGTGGCTCCTGGCCCTGGGCCTGTGCCTTCTTTCCCATCATTGTCTCCATGTCGATCCGCTTGAATGCCCATCATCGGCGCTGATGACGATACTGCCCCTGTCCTGGGTATCGAGACGCTTGCATTGGTGTGGTGTGACCACGCGGCATGTCTACATGTGTCTAAAATCCATCCCGAATCCGTAAACGCCCTGTTGTAGCCAATCCATTTTCCTCGTTGCACATGGGCTCTACTCCATCTCAATCGTTCCAGGAGGCTTGCTCGTAACTGTGTCTCGTCAGCAAACATTGCAAGCCGCACTTCTGCGTAGAGCTTACTGTCATAAACCACGCGGCACACGCCGTCAACCTCGTTTACAATCCTCCTGCTGACCCTCTTCAAAAATTCGCCATCAAACGGATACCAGTCAGCCGTCATAAAGTCC